AAGTTGAAACAAAGAATTGTGGATGTTATGAAGCAATGGAGACGAGCTCTTTTTTTAAACGACATTTTTTCGCTTATATAAAACCACTCGTTTGGTTTCTGGTCGAATCTGGTCGAAGCAAGCTCATCAAATCAATATCTTCTGCAAAGATTTCCATGCAAATCAACGCGTCACAAAATCGCCAGGAAAATCAACGAAACGACCGTTCTTTGTATCAGCTTCACCGATCGACGTTCAAGTTCCCAACCTCGACACTGTCCGTGATCCAGGTTTTTGATCAACATTCGATTTTTGACTTATATTCTCTATACATAAGAGTTGGTGGCGTGTGCAGGGATAAAAAAATTGTGACGGTAAACTCTTCAAATCAGGGTTTCTATGCTCACCTCCATTAGCATCCGGAAATCCAGTATCCTTGCCTCTCGAGATTTTTTCTATAACTAAGCAAAAGATGCTCCTTCATTCTGACCATCTTATGGTTCGAACTGAAGGCATGTTTGATGCATAAGCAAATATGGAAATATGTTCTCCGAAGTTGATTTTGTCACGGTAAGTTCACATAATTTTCGGCTCAAACAAATGATTTGCTAGTAAGTGCATGGGACGGTGAATATAAACGCATGCTTAAAGCATTTTGGCTTGATTTCATTTTAGTGACAGAAATTGTTGCTGAAACTTGCGCGAGTGGAAGATTAGTCTGATCAAGTTCTGAATTATGGCGTGTTATTAGAAAGTAGAATGGTCGTGCGACATAGATTTGAAAGCATTTATTGAAAGGCAAAATTTGAAAATTTGAAAGAAATATTCAAAAAAGCAGCATGTGAAACGATGGGATTGACTGATACGATTGATAATATTATTGATAGTTCCATGAGTGATAATGTTGCAGCGAATCAAAGTAATAAACTGAAGCGAATCAAAGCAAAGCAAACCGTAAACCAACAATGAACACGCATATGTGAATAACACAGGAAAATGAGCACGAACAATTTTATTCCAATGTATAATGTTATATCTGAATGGAATGATGATTATGAAAATATGTTTGATGGAATTCTTGGCTGATTCAAAACAAGTAATGACACTGATTAGATAGCTCGACAAGAATTATCGATAGCATGAACCGTTTAGAATAACTGAATGCCGTTGGCTCACGAACAGTGAAGATCTTGAGAGTTTATTATTCTTATTATTATTCGAAATTGCAAACTCGGTCGGTCTCGTTTACAGAGCTTGAATTCAGTTATTCGCATTTTTTACAGAAGAAAGAGGAAGTGGAATAATTACAAATAAATTATTGCTGAAAACGCAAGTAAGTTTGCATCAATTCTTCACAAAGCAGACTGGTGTTGATTTCATTTCGGGATGAAGTTTAGTGCGTAAATATTTGATGGATTTATTGATAAAAAGAGGCAATATCTTGCTAAGATGATCACTAATATCCTGATGTCTGAGCAGAATGATCACAATATTGATGACTGGATTCAGGTTCATGCTGACGGTGGAGCATGTGGATACGATGTACTTTAAATGCTTGCTTGCTCGGTTGTAAAACGTCATCTTAATGCACAGTGGTAGAACGTAGAGAATTAATGTGAATAAAGATGAGAGCCCGACTGTCACGGTTAATATTCTTTGACGTTGCTCGAACGCAGTCATTGACTGAAGATTCTAAAATGCACTCAGATTTGTTACTCCCAATTTAATGTTATAATTATTATTATTATTAATATTTTTATTATAATTTATTTATTATAGGTTGTTTATTATTACTTATGGAGCTTGTTAGGGTGCTGATGTCATTACCAGTGTTATGACTTCCATTAAGATTCATCACTGTCGAAGCACCAATCATTATGTTTGAAAATAATCACTGTTCGTCAAGCTAGTGTTGTTGGGAGACGTTCAGTTCGAATGATGCAAGTCGATGAATGGACTGACTGTGCCTATATTAAATCAATGATTTCAAAAAAGGGCAAATAATTTCGGTTGAGATATTTGTTTGAGATAATATTGTTGAGATAGCTCAGTGTCACTTGATGTGACTCATCTGATAATCTTATTGCATAACTCAGCTACGATAATATACTTGCTTGCTTACTTGAGACAATCCGATATTAAAAAGATATTATTGGGTTGTATTGATGATGTAATTGAGGTGATATTTATTTGTGAACGTAAAGTATACTATCAATTTCGATTAAGTCACTATGAAAGTTTGGGAGGCTATCAGTTGATTGATTAAGCAAGCTAACGTTTTGATTTTTTCGAACACGTTCCACATGTTTTCTTGAGAGTATGAAAACGATTAGGTATAGGACAACACTTGCGACTGATGCCGAGACGCGCATCGCTGTGAACATTTCTGTGAAAATTGGTGCAGTACTGTCGGATGTCCTGAATTCAGTTTTTGAATTAAAGAATTGGCTTTTTGAACTTTCATCACAATGAATGGTTCTCTCTTCATTAGCACAATGAATTTCATTTACTAGTTTTTTCACACATGCATCAACGAACACGTCGATTGGAGAATATTTCTAGCAATTAACGTGCTTCGTCAAAAATCATTAACTCGGAAAGGGTGCATCCAGCGAATAATTGCAAGAATGTGATAATTTTAGATGCGTACTGGTTTGTCAGCTTTAGGTGTAATGAATATGATCGTTACTGATGCTTTTGTCTGACAGTTCAACAAGGAGAATTCGTTGGATTTTGTTACGATGCTATTATCAGAGAACTGATTCTATGCACTAACCAACAGAAAATCGAAAATTCCGGTTGTGTGTATTGAAATGCTGAACACCAGTTTGCAATCACCACCATTCCAACAAGAGCGTTCCATAGTATTATCTGAACAAGTTGAGATGTTTTAGTCATTCAAATGCGCACATTCCAAAGGCAATAAAACATGAATACAGTCGCATGAAAGTACCGATTTTCTGTTTTCTGTTTCTGATTTACTTCGGCGAATGAAATCATCCCGTCAGAACGATGAAAATATATCAGATATAAGCTTCGAATGATTTTCAGTTGTTGATGAAGTTTAAAAAACATAAATATGAACAAATTAAAGTTATTGAAAACGTGAACGCTATGGATAGTGGGGATTATGAGCATAATAATTGTTACTATTGTGAGAATTGTTTGCGTGAGGAATAATGGGCTTCCGATGATCACAGTTCAGAACGCATGAAAGGGTGGTCTTTGGTTGTGAAAAGTATCCACGCGAACCTTTGTTTTAATAAAATCATTCGAAAGGTCGCTAGATCAGATAGCTTTTTTTCCTGCGAAGTGCATGAATCCGAATTGATGTCTTTCTGACTGGCAAGAATATTGTGAGAATCGCCTACTACGACGTCTCATATTGTCTCGCTGATATTCCCAACCAACTTTTGAAACAAACTTTCACATGAGTTGTTTTCAGATCGGAAGGTATTTTTTGGAGAAGTAAAACGTTGAGGATTTCGAACTTTGAAGAAAAAGTTATCGTTATGATATTTAAAAAAAACTGAATCTAACATTGACGCTGGGAGTATAAATCTTTAACGAAAATGATCAGCGATGCAAGCTGATTGCTAGACAATGAGTTGTTTACTGCCTCCGCTTCAAACAGTAACTGAATATTCTCAACTGAAATTCTCGTGCGAAACTTCTCAAGGAATCTACCGGTCCGGGAACTGATCACGTCTCTCGTCTCGAATATATCTTTGCAAACGTATTCTTACTTGAACGAAATACACCGATGAAAATTTGAATAATTCTAAAGAGTGAAGGGCATTGACGTTTAAAGTTTTGCATTACTTGAATATTTTGAAAGAATTGATTCCTTTTCCAATAGGTAATCGGCGATATTAACGGTATCAAACGATCGATGTTTACCATCAGCAAGCATATTGCTGTCATTGGTTCGGCCCTGGAAACTGATTGTCGAGTAAGTTTGGAAAAAATAAACAAAATGACACATCTTCGTGAATCAGCTGTTCACTTTTATAATTGATAGAATATGAAATTGATCTAGATATTGATATGGCAACACAGTGGTGTGTGCAGTAGCTTTCTTCGTAGGGAAAACGGGGCAGTTTCGATTGGTAGGCTGAAGAAAGGATAGTTTCAGTAGTGATATAATAAAATGAACCGTGGATTAAACCACCACCCAAATTTGAATACATTGAAGAAATACACCTCTGATTTAGTCAACAATAGAACTTTCTTATTTTTTTCCAGTGTCTTATTTTCTGAGGAGAACGACGACCGTCACAGTCACTGCTCTTCCTTGCTTGCACATGCAAATCCGAAAACATGATGACCAAATGAGACACATTTGATGACGATTTCCAAAGTATATCTCGATATCGATCTTTTTTTGCCGCTTTTCAGCGCTTGAAATAGTTGTTGTTTTCAGTACGGTCAGGAGTGTAAGGATTATTGTGCGGAAATCCCATCTTCCGCAGGCTGAGGTGGTAGGGGATCCCGTAAAGTGGGGCTTTGTCATCGAATTACGCGAAGAACGACTGAGGGGTCCCTTCCCCGTTACTAAGCCTAGTTTTTGATGCTTGATTTTATGCTTAGTAACCATATATCACCATCAGTTGCATTCTCGAAAGCAACTTTCGTTTTATTAAGTTCTGAACTCAACAAATTTTTCGTCGAATCCTTTCAAAAAAAAAACAACTTCATCGCTTCAGTTATAATCACAAACAGTATCTGTTCGTGTGTGATTATCGGTGCTGATTGTTTTGCCATTAATAACCATCTCGCAAAAAATTTCGGTTCATGAGAATTTTCATCAGTTAATGTGAATAGAAATAGAGCTTGAAGTTATCAAAATTTCCTCATTCTCTTAGTGATCGAGAAGGATTTTTTTGTTGGAGAAAAATCGAACTTGCGAGTACTTCACATGAATTCATTCATTAGTATGTGATTTTTGATGGTTGATTTGAGTTTCAAGCTGTTCATAATTCACATCAACTCGACCTTTTCAGGCAAAGGCGTTAAAATACTTAGGTGATGTGCAAATTAAGAACATGAACATTACGAAGTACGCACCAAGCAGCCAATATATTCCACGGCATTAACATGCAGTAACGTCGAGACTTCGAGTAATTATCAACCGGTTCGACAAACGTGATTATAATGCGTCCTATTCCAGCAGTCGAAAGACCCACTCCCATTATAGCATTGATCGTGATCTAAATAAACATCATTTGATCAAAGCAAACCCATCAAAACAACAATTCACCTCATTCCTAGAACGTGCACTGTATCGCTGCACGGTGAAAATAGCAGAACGCAAATTCAAGCACGAAATTATCAACCCGAAGCCTGGAGAAAAAATAGTTCCGATGATACCAAATTTTCAAGTATAGACGTGATTCGTATAAATTCATTCAACATTGTCTGGTTTTGACACTGATCGAAATTTGTCAAGAGCCGTATTCAGTCAGCGATAAATTGACATGGGGCTCAACTGCGTGCGAAAACTTGATCTATTTCTCGCCAAATTGAACATGATAAAAATTGATATATAATCGATGATTTTCTCAAATTTTTGTTTAGCTCAACCGTTAGGTTTACGTCTTCATATTGCATGGAAAATGGCAAAAGTGATCATCAAGTTGCTATCAGTATTGAATCTCGTTGAGTCGTGTCAAACGTCACTATCGCAGATAGTGACGTTTGACATGACACATCGAGACGTCGAGTTATATCTTTATCTCAATAATGTCATCAAATACCACTCTAATATAAATCATGTCATGGTTGAACGTCACGCTAACACATTTGCCTGTTCATGGCTATGACAGCTATAAATCTGATGCTTTTTTGCACACATACTCCTCTAAAGCTTTTGCAAGTGTAGAAATCGCATCTGATTCCACCATGAGATGATTTCTGTGATAAGCTATTCACGGTTAATAATGATGGTGATGATAATAAATGGCATGTTCAAATATACGCTCATCATACCTCTGCCAACTGAACCGTGTATCGACGTCGTAGTATGGAGTGTTTTGCGATTACGTACGATAGAGTACCATTTGTGACAACTAATAGTAATCCTTGAAACGCGAAAACAAAGAAGATTGGGCGAAGGCCACGCTGAATTGCACTCGAATTCGTATCAACAGAAGGATGATAATCGCTGCCAAAGGAGGACATTCAAGTGGTTGAATTATTTCCGGTTAACACCGGAAATATTTCCGGTTATTTCACCGGATTTGTGAAACTGAAAGTATTTCATTTTAATTGATACGAGTGGAATTAATTGGAAACTGTGATGGTGATTTCAACACAAAACATTCGTGCATTAGAAGCACAGCGGCGTGACATCGGAGCACTTCAATTCACATATTTTTAATGGAACGCACTCGAGGCGATGATGATTTGCATAGTTGGATAAATCCGTGAGCAAGAATGATGCGATAAGTATTTGTGAACAAATTTGTACAAAAAAAAACTTTTTTGAAGCCTATTTCATCATGGACTATCGAATAACTTCAGAGATCCTTACTAGGTTGCTTGAATATGTCATATATACACGAAAGAAAAAAACTGCAGCTTCACGCGGAACCCAACCACCCGGCACCCAACCTTACCGCTACCGCACCACTACCCACTAGGCTAGTCCACTGCTGCTTGATTAAAATTCAGCACGTAATACACTAAAAATCTTTTCCCCACCATATTTCGCATCCCCTTTGTGTTTCGCAAAAATTTCTTGCACACTCGTGATCAGCTCGAGGAGCTCTACAGTATGATGTATATTTCATCACGAAA